AAACTAGACCATTTCCTTACACCATACACAAAAATAGACTCAAAATGGATGAAAGACCTAAGTGTGAGACAGGAATCCATCAAAATCCTAGAGGAGAGCACAGCCAGCAACCTCTGTGACCTCAGCTACAACAACTTCTTCCTAGACATGTCTCCAAATGCAAAGGAAAAAGGCAAAAATGAACTACTGGGACTTTATCAAGATAATAAGCTTTTGCACAGCAAGGGAAACAGTCAACAAAACCAAAAGACAACTGACAGAATGGGAGAAGGTATTTGGAAATGACATATCAGATAAAGGGCTAGTATCCAAAAATCTATAAAGAACTAATCAAACTCAACACCCAAAGAACAAATAATCCAGTCAAGAGATGGGCAGAAGACATGAACAGAGATTTCTCCAAAGAAGACATCCAAATGGCCAACAGACACATGAAAAAATGCTCAGCATCACTAGGCATTAGGGAAATACAAATCAAAACCACAATGAGCTACCACCTCACACCAGTCAGAATGGCTAAAATTAATAAGTCAGGAAATGACAGATCTTGGTGAGGATGCAGAGGAAGGGGAAGCCTCTTACATTGCTGGCAGGAATGCAAGTTGGTGCAGCCACTCTGGAAAACAGTATGGAGGTTCCTCAAAAAGTTGAAAATAGAGCTACCCTATAACCTAGCAATGCACTACTAGGTATTTACCCCAAAGATACAAATGTAGTGATCCAAAGGGAAACATGCACCCCAATGTTTATAGCAGCAATATCCACAATAGCCAAGCTGTGAAAAGTGCCTAGATGTCCATTGATAGGTGAATGGATAAAGAAGATGTGGTATATATATACAATGGAATACTACTCTGCCATCAGAAAAATGAAACTTTGGGGACGCCTGGGTGGCTCAGTTGGTTAAGCGACTGCCTTCGGCTCAGGTCATGATCCTGGAGTCCCGGGATCAAGTCCCACATCGGGCTCCCTGCTCGGCAGGGAGTCTGCTTCTCCCTCTGACCCTCCCCCCTCTCATGCTCTCTCTCTCTCATTCTCTCTCTCAAATAAATAAATAAAAATAAAAATTAAAAAAAAAATGAAACTTTGCTATTTGCAATGATGTGAATGGAACTAGAGGGTATTATGCTGAGCAAAATAAATCAATCAGAGAAAGACAATTATCATACGATCTCACTCATATGTGGAATTTAAGAAACAAAACAGAGGATCATAGGGGAGGAGAGGGAAACAATAAAACAAGATGAAATCAGAGAGGGAGACAAACCATGAGACTCTTAATCATAGGAAACAAATTGAGGGTTGCAGGAGGGGAGGGAGTTGAGGGGTGGGGTAACTGGGTGATGGACATTAAGGAGGGCACATGATGTAATGAGCCCTGGGTATTATATAAGACTGATGAATCACTGAACTCTACCTCCGAAACTAGTAATATGCTATAAGTTAATTAATGGAATTTTTAAAAAAGAGTTAAAATAATCCAAATCACCTAGTGTTTTTGAAATTCACAAAATATATTAATCTTAGGGATAGTAATCTTTAGGATTTGGGAATGAGACATCAGAATTCCCTGAAATGCTCAGGAATTTCTAAAATCATATTACACTGAATTTTTCACAAAACTTTACTTATATCTTTCAAAATAATGATTGGTAACTATAATAACAAACAGTGAATAATTTTTCTGAAACTAAAAGTTTTAGAGATTTTCTATTTAAAAGAGATAAATAAATTGTTTAGTACTATAGAGAGAGACAATATTATATATTTCAATGTATAAAAATTTCTCTTTGATTTGAACATTTAATAATAGAAAACATCAAAAGAATACTCACACAGAATAAACTTCAATAAAAAACATTTGGGGGTGCCTGGGTGGCTCAGTCTGTTAAGCTCTTGATTTGGCTCAGGTCATGATCTCAGGGTCATGAGATCCAGCCCAGCCTCAGGCTCTGCACTAAGCAGGGAGTCTGGTTGAGATTCTCTCTCTCTCTCCCTCTGCTCCTGCCCCCCATCTTGTGTGCTTGAGCCACACACTCTCACTCTTTCTCTAAAATAAATAAATAAATGGTTTTTTTTAAAAAGCATTTAAAACTGAAATGTAATACCACAAATATTCAATATTTAAAAGTTGTTTTTAAAATGAGATCTTAAAACAAAAAGCTAATCGTTCTGATAGTTTTGGCCTTGCTTCATCACAAATATTCCAAAACAAAACAAAACAAAAATGCCTCTCTTTTGTTTTAATCATTTCTTTTTAAAGATGAAAATATTTTTATCTACTTGCTTTGATTTTGGTTTTGCCATTGGAATTGATATTGCTCTGGCTAATTCAGATTTTAGATCAGCTGCTGATTTTACATCACAGTATCACTCATCAGTCCCATCTGTTCTTTGCATTTCTTCTATTAAAGAACAAATACCTATGCTGAATATTTTAACATGAAAACACCAACAAACCTGGGTGTCATCCAAATAATGCAACATCCAGGTCCTCTAGCAAAGTCAGCAGCACTACACAGAATCAGAAGTTGAAATTGTCAATTTCGGGGCTCACTTGCTTTCAATACTTATTTCTTAGAATATCATTGTGTTGATTGTTAATTTTTAATTCCCACAGGAGACTTATGTTACTTTTTTTCATTTTTCTCATTTCTTGATTTTTTTTCAGAACCTGGAGTTCTGAAAAACATAAATTTCCTGAGAAATACTAAGAAGAAATTTTCCCTTAGAAACACTACATTTGGGGCGCCTAGGTGACTCAGTCGTTAAGCGTCTGCCTTTGGCCCAGGTCATGATCCCAGGGTCCTGGGATCGAGCGCCGCGTCAGGCTCTCTGCTCAGCAGGGAGCCTGTTTCTCCCTCTCCCACTCCGCCTGCTTGTGTTCCCTCTCTCACTGTCTCTCTCTGTCAAATAAATAAATAAAAGCTTAAAAAAAAAAAAAAAAGAAACACTACATTCACTTTGCCATATACTATTCTATAAAAAAATCTTGAAATCTTGCCTTTGTGCTTTAAAACAATTATCGGGGGGGGGTTCTCTGTAATTAATATTCATATGAGGCTATTCTGGAATAAAATAAAGACCTATATTCTTTTGGATAAGATTAAATATCTGTTATCTGGTATTTTATTTTCTCTCCAAGCTGCACCTTGCTTTGTAGAGATGCAGTCAATTTTATGCCTTAATCTCAAATTGTTCAGATGTCTGCAAAGGTGCCGTCCAATATTTTAGTTCACATTTTATTAGCACTTATATTATGAAAATACGGTATTTGTCAGTTGGTAAACCTGCTTTCATTGCCACAAATGGGCCAATGAAAAGACTGAATAATAACAAATTTCCCTTATTAACACTTAAACAAAAATTCTCAAACATTCCACTTGAGTATATAAAATGTAAGCATGATTTTTGTACCTGTCCAAAGAGAGACCCTTGTAACTTTTTTTTTTTCTGGCTTAAAATAATCCCGTGCTATTTCTTTCTTTTGTTGTGCCCTTTCATTCCCTTCTGTTAGTGAATACCTTACCAAAATGCCTTTTGGGATACTTAGGGTTTGTGTCACAGGAAATTTTCCCAAATCTGATCAATGTGGTTGTTATTCTTTCTTTTACCTTATAAAATGTGATTTTGAGTTATGCAGATACCTACTTGCCCAGAAGCTCATTCTGATAACACTCCCATTTTTAGATCCCAGGAAATTTAGATGCTCCTCCTGACACCAAGAAACAGCCAAAGGCCATCAGCAGTGGCTCCTTTATGATATGTTCTTGGAGAGAGCACACGGAGAGACCCCTCTGGATAAAAATGAAGGTCAAAGGTCAAAGCGTTGTTAGATCTCTGCTTGTTCAAAAAACGTCTTTAGAGTAGCTTGGTGCAAATGATTAAGGCCCTTTATTTATTTGTCCTGATGTTGGAAATGGTGGAGGATGGGAATGGGGTGTCCTCACAGCTCCATAATGGATGCAGAAGTGCTGACACTTTACAAGGAGCACAGATTCTACAACTTCCAGTGCCCCTCAATATCCACACAGCCCCAATACACAAACTTACCTCCACTCTCACTGGCCAGGTGTCTATATTTATTCTGCAGTCTATATCAGGAAGCCAGCAAGCCAGGCTCCCTCTGCATATTGAACTCAGAATGCAGTCTCGCCATTAGAGTGCCTGCAGCCAGCCACAGATCTCCCACTTCCAGCTTCAGGAAGAGCCATACTCTGCCTCCCACACTTGTCCACCCTGACAGCTAACATTCCATCCAGTCATGCCTTTTGTAGAGTAGCCTCTGAAAAGGTCACTGGGTTGCTACGTAAGTTTTATTATCCTCCTGGGTATTGGTTTCCATTGTGCCCTCGAGTGCTAGCCTCTGGATCATTCTCAGCTTCAAACTGAGAAGTCCTGTCACCTGGCTGGGGCCCCAGTCATCATCCTGACTGAAAGGAGATTTCAAATAGCAGGGGCAACTCAGTGACAATGTCACAGGCTCCACAACCCCCTGGGGCCAACCCCTCTGCCCCATGTCTCCCCTCAACACAAAAGGCCCAATTATCATTCTCAACAAGCAAGGCAACCTCCAACTAAAGATCCTAATTTATGGACTGTGGTAGAACACGAATGCTATGAACATAATGTATACACGTGTTGATTAAGCAAAATATAGCAATTCTGATATCCCTATTAACAAACACATGCAAAAAGGATTCAGAGCAGAAGCCTCACTAAAAGAATCACAAAATGCATTTTATGAAATAGTATAGAACAGTAAGTGCTCTTACATATAGAGAAGATATGATTTTAAAGCTCAAATCCTTTTTTTTAGAGCGGTAGGAGTTCATTAAGTGAAGTTTTAAATACAGTTTCACCTTGCATTTTCTTCTTCAAACCATTCCCAAAGATTACAAGTTCAATATCAGCACCACCATATTCTGGAAGTTGGAAGGGTGATAGACACTATATTGCTGTCTACATTCTTCTTTAACTATATTTAAATTAGGACTTACACCTGAATTATGTATGTCTTCCATGTCCTCAGGTATCATGGCTGCATCCAGGTCACCAGGGAGTCTCCACGGCCTGAGGTTGTTGCTGTGCCTTCTCTCTTCCCATTTCTTACTAGAAAACATAAGTTACCGAGAAGTCAATGGGTACATTCCCCAATTACTACTGGAAAGGAACACAACATTTTCATCTTATTTGGTGTTCACATCCAGTAGAACACCTGCTTTACCTTTGATGCTCTGTTTTTGTTGACAGGACTTACATAATAGCAAGCAGCAACAACAACAAAAGCCCAAATGTGTCCTAAGGGCTTTGTACAAGCAGTTAGGAGAAAGTAGCACCAGGTATACAACTGTAAACCAGCTTCTTTTATTTCTTCTTTCTTGACGAAATGAAATGAATCTCTTATAACAAAAACTTTTTCTCCTCCTCCTCCTCCTCCCACACACAGTGGGAATAAAAATGACAAAAGAGTGACTTGGAAACTTAGCATGAAACCATCATCACTGTTACCATCAGCATTATTTTCAGCTTCACCATAAGGAATATCCAAAACTGAGAGTGATTGCTGCCAGCCCCACACTAGGGATTGTCTACATAAATCATCCCTTACATTGTCATAAATGCCTAAAATTCCATCTGGTCAAGTGACATTTTAAAATTTTTAAAAATTACACAATATCCCACATGTTAATTGAGTTGTTTTATATGTTTAGTATTTATATTTTCATTATATGTAATGAAATTATATTAACATATTATATAATATACATTATACGTCATAACATATATTAATATATCACATTAATATTACTATAATATTTATTATTTAATATATATTAATAAATATATATTCAGTTGTTTATAAGTGATTGTGCCTAATTTTTCTGGGCATTGAGCTCAATTTGGCTTAAATTGTATTTATTCATATGTATCATGTCCCAGATTGTTTTGAAATGGGTGCTTATTAATTAGCATTATCATATGTAGCATGATTAAAACTGAACAGAGAGAAACGGAGAATGGAAAATAGTTCCACCTGCACCAGGAATGGTATGGCATGAGGTAAAAATCAAGTTGAATCACATTGAGAGTCAGCTAAAAGCCTGCCCTTACTTTCATGTCACACTAGGGAACCAACTTTCAAGCTGTATTGTTCAGTTCATTAGGTTCTTAAAGAACTAACTTCTTTTTAAAATCAGATTCAGATCCTAGCTCAGCCAATCAGGAAAGCCCAGTGGTCCTAATTCTCATTACAGCCCTCATATCTACCACTCCTGAGTGGGAAAGCTCATCAATTTCAAAGGTTTCCCTAGGAAGCGGCACAAGGAGGTTCACATGACACTGGGGTCATATGACCTCTTCTAGGAACTATTGGAAAATTCTAATATAAAGCAAGCAAAGTTTCTAAGAGATCAAAATCTCTTTGATTAAAAGTGTCAGAAGTGGGGCGCCTGGGTGGCTCAGCCGGTTAAGCGTCCGGCACTTAATTTCCACTCAGGTCATGATCTCAGGTCATGAGCTTGAGCCCCATGTCTGGTCTGCTTAAGATCCTCTCTCCCTCTCCTTCTGCCCCTCCCCTCCTCCACCCCCCCCCCCCCACCATGTGGGCCCTCTGTCTTTCTCTCTCTCTAACAACAACAAAAAAAAGTATAAGAAGTAAAACACATACCAACGAACATCAGGAAATTGTCCTCTAGGACTGCCAAATCATTTTACCAAGGTTAACAGATCTGTAATATTTTGAATTGGCTCATTCCTATCTTCCCCTTGTTATTTAACCTCACATAGCCTCAGAATTCATGCTAAGGAAGATCATGTTTTGGTACATAATGTTCTTGTTGACTCTGGCTTGACTAATTTTAACACAATTGTCAGACTTGCACTGACTCAGTCAGGTTTCTGACCTGTACCCAAGTAAGTATAGCATAAAGAGAAGGACAATTTTTCCATACTGGGATCTGAGTAGAGGAAATCTCCCTTGTTCTCTGGAAAAATTACTGGAAGTCAATTTTTGATGTGGTAGTTCTAGAGGTTTCCCTGGTTTGTCTTGTCATTTGTGTCACAGAGGGGTGAGAAGAGAGAAACTTTTGTTCAAAAGTGATGCTATCCATTTTTCTGCCTGAAATGTTTGAAAATTTCATCTTACTGTTTTGAGAATGAAGGCCTGGATTCAATGAGAGGGAAAATTTGTTTATATTGCCTTTGTTTTCTCAATGAAGATATATTTGGGCAATATTGCAGAGAAATAATGAATCACCACAATTTTAATTATTTACTTAGAATAAACAAACGCCTTGATTTCCTTACAAATGGAAGCAGAAAAAGAGCTCCAATACAATAAATCATTCTCCAAAATGAATTTTTCTGATTCCTTTTCAGAGATTTACAACCAAAGGACTACAACTTCCAGGATAAACTACTCACCAAAAGATATCAATAAAAAGAAATTTAAAAAGTCATAACATTTTATCAAGATCATTCTTGATAATCCCTACCCCTCTGGCTCAGGCACAAGGGAACCCATGAGCCAGGTAACTGACACACCCAGGCACAGCCAGAGCAGTGCTGCTGTCCAGGTAGCCTCTGTGGGCTGGTTCCCTGATCACAGCTTCTCCCCTGTACTTACAGATTCTGAGACAGAAGCTGTAGATCTCACATCCTTTCAAGTTCATGTCCAGTAACAGGAAAATGTCCTTTTCAGAAATCTCTTTTTGCCCACAAGTCAGCTCATGTGCTTCTCCGCGATCAATCCCTGTAGCCAGAGAAGTGCAACATCCAGGGTCCTTGTTGCACACTTAGATTCTTAGCTAAGACATCCACTGAAGCCTCATGGTCTGTGACTAGAGGACAGGGTAACTTTCCACAGGAAAATGAAAGTATGGTTACCAGGAAGCAAGCAAACGCTTTTTGGTGGGGAAACAAGACAAAACAAAACATGCTCACACACAAAACATGCTCACACAAAGACATTTTTTTCCCTTCTGTGGAGAATTTGGGATCTAAATCAAGAAGAAATCTAACAGTATCCACTGCCCCAATATCCAGAAATATATTCTATTAATATTTTAATGTATTTCTTTTGAAGATACCTAAATTTTTTTCCAACATAGCCCAAACTGCTTTATTTTTAACCAATGGACTTGTTTCTTCACAAAGTTAAAATCTACATGTTCTTCAGTAATGTACTTATCTTTATTTAACATTATTCTGTGAAGACTTTTAGAAGTATCAAGAGAGTCCTCTTGTTAAATCCCCCTAGAGCAAAATGCATATCAGAAAATCTCATACTTAAGCTTATTCTGCTCTTAGGGCAAAGTAGTTGTGTGTGAAAAGGGTGCAGAAATGCCTCTTTACCAATCATATATATTTAATATAATTGAGAACCTGCTCTTGAAATAGCTCCACCACCATGCAGCATTGTATTTTGATTGTTTCTACTATATGTCACTGAATGATATTGACAACATGAATATAAATAGTACTTTGTATCCCTTTGTCTGGATATTCCATAATTTATTTGGCTGATCTCTACTCTGGCACTTCAATTATTACAACTTTTAACTATTATATATAAAAAATAACTTCAATGAATATTCTTGAATATAAATCTACACTTGCATCTCTAATTATTTCCTTAGGATAAATACTTCAAAGCAGAATTACTGGGTAGGATAGTCTCAAATGTTGTAAGTCTTTTGGTACATATTACCAAAATGGCCCCTGGAAAGATAGTTCCATTTATCTCCACAATCCCACTCTTGCTAACACTCAGTATTAAAATTATTTTATTTCAAATTTAGAAATAGTATACTCATATAGTTAAGAAATTGCAAACAGTCCCATTATTTCAATAAATTCTACTTTCAATGCATCTGCTGATTAACACTATAAATCTATGGAATCTCTTTCTGTTTCCTGATATATCAAATTTGAATTGCATTTATTAATTTCTGTGCTATAAAATAAGAAAAGTAGTTTAACACGTATACCACCTCCTTCTCCATCCCTTCTAGCAATTCTTTATATTATTATATTTAGATCTCAATATAATTTGATCTAAAACCAACAGTTTTACTTTTATCCTTTGGGGTTTTATTAAATTTGGACAGAATCCTACACCCCTCCACTAAGGAAGATAGAAAATTTGTTCAGAGTAACTACTCCCCACCACCAGCTCCCTCTTGCCTCCTGTCTCCATGTTGGCAGCATTGTTCCTCCATTAGGGAGGGGCCATGCAAAAGTGTGGGGTCAACAGAGGGATGTGCTTTAGACCACATCCTGGATACAGTGGAAGCCACAAGATCAAGGCATGAAGAGCATAGTATATTAATAAGATAATATTTAAAGCTTTTTACTTCGTCCATAGCAGGGCTTTTCCACCTTAGCTCAATTGACCTTTTGGACCAGAACTTCTTTGTTTGGGGGTCGTGTTGTCCCTGCAGGGTATTTTCAGTGTTCCTGGCCTCTGTCCCTCAGACACCAGTACAAATCCTCCCACTGTGACAATGGAACATGTCCCTGGGTATTGCACGTCCCCTGCTGGGGCAATATTGCTGGTGGCAGAGCACTGGTCTATACAAATTCCCCCATAGGTCTATCCATACTGCTATTTTTTATTTCAGTGGGAAGATTAGCCTGACTCAAAGCACTCCAGATGGACACCTGGGTGGCTCAGTCAGTTGAGCATCTGCCTTCAGCTCAGGTCATGATCCCAGGGTCCTGGAATCAAGTCCCACATGGGCTCCTGCTCAGTGGGGAGCCTGTTTCTCCCCCTCTGCCCCTCCCCTTTGCTCGTGATCTCTCTCTCTCTTTCTCTCTCATGCTCTCTCTCAAATAAATAAATAAAATCTTAAAAAAAAAAAAAAAGCATACCAGATGCAGTTAGGGGCAGGTATCATTATAGAGCAACAGAGGAGTGAAGCAGGCAGGCTCTTCTGCTTGGTGCTTTTCCTTCCTGGGAAGAACTGACTGTTTTTTTCTCTTTTCCTCTTCAGTTTTGCTGTGGACACTTCTGTTCTCCTTTTTCCTCAAGGGACACCCCCACCCAGAGCCAGAGCAACAGCTCTCAATATTTAAGTTCCCTTACAAATCTATGTGTAATGTTTACCTCCTAATGTTTTGCAGTTTCTTTATGGATGCAAGCCCTACCTTCAGCATTTTGAATAATTTAAGCACATGTCTTTAAAATTGTTTTCAAATTGCTCTGAATTTATAGTTCCTTCATTGTGAATTCTCTCTGTTACATTTTTACTTTTAATTTATGACTCTGAACTTATCTTTGATGTGAATCATTTTCTACGGGAGTCTTGCTAGGGTCTGGTGATGAAGATATTAGTGCAGAGAAGTTTTTGCCTCTCACTGGGCACTCTGAGTTTTATCAGTTCCACTAATCAAGTATTTAAGGTTAATTTCTCAGCTCATTATTTCCTCACCATGTACAAAATTCAAGATTGGATCCCATCCTCCTGCAGAACACAAATTTGTATATATGTTTTCTTGCTCCTGGAGGCTCTTCCACATCCAGGGTCCAAGGCAGATGGCATGCTCCATGGGACATCGCTGGCCTGGTGAGCACAGTTTCATTTTAGTTCCCATTCCTGTATAGAACCCTCTTCCCAGCTCCCTCATTCAAGGACCTCAGTTCTATTTCATATGGAGCACAGGGAATGCAGCCTTAACTCTTCAATAGAGAATGGGTCTGAAAACGCCACTTTAAGATAGAGATCAAATTCTAATAACTTTTTGGGTTAATGGACATTCTATTCTGGTTGTCAAACACCTGAAGATGTCCCCTACTTAACTTTAAGCTCAGCTGTGCATTTTCTTTTATATTGCTTTATTTTGTGCTGTTGTTATAAATTGTTCAACTCCTCTCTGTGTTTAGAATGGAGGTAGGAGTCAGGCAGGGCACATCAGTCTAGTCTGCCATCTTGACTCAGAGTCTCCTAGAAGTGGTCCAGCAAACATGGTGGGGAAAACCAAGTTAGTATAGGTAGAGATTAGACGCATGAGGAATGGGATGCACAAGAGCTGAAGTGGTGAGGAAGACACCAAATAGATGTCAAGGTTCTCACAAAGCACAAAAAGAAATCCATGCTTTTTTGTCCTTGTAGGACCAGAGGTTAATGGAAATTTTAAGTAATTAGCAATGTATAACCAAAGGGTTTTTTTGTTTGTTTGTTTGTTTTTTGAAGCAAACTCTGACAGTGTGTAAGATTGATGACATGGAGTACAAAACATCTAGTGAGCAAAGACAATTAGAGGGTGGATGATAGTGTCGGGCTAAGATGATAAGGAAGAGCATTAATGCAGTGGTAGCCATGATGGATAGGAGACAAAATTTAGGGAAACTTCCTGAGATAGACTTGCAGTGTTTAGCAGAACCAAGATTCAGTCCATGGCAATACCAACAATTAAGGGGCAGGTGGGGAAGGAAGAATGAAAACCACAGATAAAAGACACAGACACAGTAGGAGAAGAATACAGGAAACATGGCCACACTGAGGAGAAGCAGGACGTTCAGGAAGAAAGGCTCCATCAGCATCATCAGTGCTGCAGAAAGTGAAGAGAGAAGTACTGAAGTTAAGAAAAAGGGATGAGGTGAGGATTTAAACGGACTGAACCATTTTATTTCTTAAAAGGGGAATACTGAAGAAAATACGATAAAATATTAATATAAGATAAAATCTAGGTAGTATATTTGTGGATATATTATTTTGTATATTTCCTATACTTTCCACATGTGTAGAAATATGTCATATGTGATTATTAAAATTTAATAGAAATATAAAGTGAAAAAAATTAAACCACTGATTAGATCAGGCAATTAGAAGGTATTAGCTATTGGTGGTGCCTGGGTGGCTCAGTCGGTAAGCGTCTGCCTTCAGCTCAGGTCATGATCCCAGGGTCCTGGGATCGAGCCCCGCATCGGGCTCCCTGCTCCGCGGGAGGCCTGCTGCTCCCCTTGCTTGTGTTCCCTCTCTCTCTATCAAATAAATAAATAAAATCTTCAAAAAAAAAAAAAAAGGTATTAGCTACCTTATGAAAACTCTTTCCACAATAGGAGTAGGCATGCATGTCAAGTCATGGTAGATACAGGGAGATTGGCAGTAGAGTAAGTGAGGACCAGGAAGACCAGTTATTCTTCCAGAAAGTTTAGAAACATAGAAATGGTGGCAATTAGAGTAGTTCCTGAGGTGGCAATAGGATTGTGGGAAAGATTTGTAGAACAGGGCACTAGTTGGTGGACTCATGGAAGAAGAAGAGAGGTGGAAGATTTAGTAGACAGAAGAAATTATTGATGAAGAATCATGGAAATGATAAGCTTCTTCAGATTAATAACTAAAAGCCATGTGGAAAAATTTTAAATGCAGCATTCAGATCATCAGTTACTGCTGTGTAACAATTTGAACCTAAACACCAGTTTTTTGGGACACAGAATATATTTTAAATTGAGATATCCTACCCCAGCTTTACAAAAGTAACTGCCAGTGGGCTCACTCTCAGAAAACACCTCCCCTTGCCCTGGAGCTGAGTTGGAGAGGGCATGTTACATTGATGCTCTGCACACCTGAAAGGGTGGTAGGACAGAATTAACACTCTGATACAATATTCATCAATAAGTGTACTGGTGAGTATTCCCTGTTTAGCAGACCCTCAGTGAATACAGGCATTCAAAATAATCATTATCCCAGGAAAATGGATCTTCCAAACCTCCTTCAATTTTAATTTCATCAACATGTAAAGTTTATGTTAAGCATGAACTACAGTAAAAGGAATCTAGTTTTCATGATTTAGTTTCAATTGATTCACATTTTTTGTATATTTGTCATAAAATTTTAGACTCATTTAAATAGAAC